GACATCTGGATGTTTCCCATCATGTGGCTTAAACATCTGCATTTTTTCACTTCTCATCCAGATGTTTTGGTCTTATGTAAACGTAGCAAAAAGTGAAGGAGAATATCAAGCAATCATCTGGGGACTTTGATTAACATGGACAGCAAATCTGAATAATTCATGTTCTGAGAGTCCTGTTTCTTGTCTAGCTCAGAACACATTACTAATGAGGTCAAAGTTACTGTAGGTTTGTTCCTTATATGAGCCAGTCAGCTCTAATCTGTTCCATGAGCACAGGATGCACCTCTAGCCTCAGCCAGCTGTCTAGTAAATGAGTGTCCTTGGTCCTACAGCCAACTGAAGAGCCAAGAAACTCCCCCACTTGGAAAGTAAAATAAAAATACCTTTCCCATGGATGGGTCAGAAGTGCCATTTTTTAAATGAAAATGACAATAGTAAGTCTTTCATGGTGCTTATTTTGTGTCAAACACTGTTATAAGCACTTCAGATACATTAAATCACAATGTTCACAACAACCCTGTGTGTATTATTATTATACCAATTTTATAGGTGAGGAAATAGAGGCACAGGAGGGCAAGTAATTTACCCAAGATGAAAATAGATGGCATTGTCATATTTTTTTGTTCACTTGCCATTTTTTTGTTTCATTCCTCCTGTCACAAATTTTGGGGGAACTCCTGATGTACTGGCTGTCTAGAAGCTATGTCAAAGGAGGACAGAAACTAGGATAGTTCTGCATACTGAATTCATTGGTGGAACTGTTACTGTGGCATGCCCCGTGCACAGTATGGGAGGTTAATCTAATCCCTATTCTTCCACCCAATACGATAATTATAGGCATAAAAGTACCCTTTCAAAAAAAAGAAAGGCAATATTTTTGTTGGCAATAAGTCAGTATATAAAGTATATATTTATGAAAAAGAACTATGTGGTTAGAAGCAATGAACCACATTGGGTGGCCTCATATAACTAAATTTCTGAATGTTCTGAGGAAGAAAGACTTGTTTGGCTTTCAAAATGCCTAAGAAACTTTGATCTCCAACCACAAATTGACTTAGAATCCTAAAATCCTAGACCTAGACAGGACGTAGAGATAATCTAACCCATTTTTAATTTCTTCTTTAAAAATGGAAATAATAAAAATACTTTGCTTGCTGAAAGGAGCAGATGAAAAAGATCCCTTATATTTTTAAGGACTCCAGGAATTGCAACTTCACAGATGCTCCTAAATTCATTTCTCCATTTAATCAAGAAATGTGATGTGAGTGCCTACTCTGTGACCAGTGCTGTTGTGGGTGGTTGGACTATAGCAAGGAATAAAACATGGCCACTGATTGTAAGAAATTCTTCATCTGTTCTGATGTTTTCTGCTTCAGAAGTAAAGGTTTTCTTTCCTATAATTTTCCTGCCTATTTTTTGTTTCATCTGGCATTATGCAAAAGAATTGCTCAACATCTTACTAATGACGACTATGTTCATTTATTCATTAAACTCCACTTCCTTTCCTTTGTGAGCAGCGAGACTATATTTGCTATCCTCTCCCCCCATTCACTTGGAATGTGTTTTTTATGAGCCATTCTGTGCCAAACTCTTTATGCACCTACTGTATAAATGAAGAGGACTCCTTGGACCCAGAAGAGATAGGAGAAACAAAATAGAAAAAGCCTATTTCTGAATATTGGTGAAGAGTCTCTCCCCTTAACTTCATCCAATCTTTATAAAACTGTGGTGTGAGCAAACAATGCCTTTTTATTGTATTAAGCTGCAGGATTTGGGTTGTCCTTAACAATAGTTATCTACTCTTACTAACACAATGTTAAATTTTCCTTCATAATTTTTAAAATGGTAATTACTCTGACTTCAATTTTGGTGAAGTTGGTTCTCTGGGTTCAAGCCTTTCGTGGTTATCAATTCTTGACGTTGCTTCACAGGATCACTCTCTGCTTCTCCCACAACTCCAACACACTTCAGCATACCCCTTCTTGCTCTTTGTGTTTTCCAGTTTCTCTATTTTAAAACTGGTGACAGACATCCTCAATCTCTGCCTCCTGGAGTGCCCTCTGATGTATTTTGTTAATTGAAGTATAGTTGATATATAATATTCTGTTGGTTTCATGTATACAACACAGTGATTCCCTCTGATTGAATAACTTCAATGCCTTTTAACATAACTCCTTACTAAGGGAGGTGAGGTTTTTAAATAAAATCAGTGGATGAGACCTAAAAGGACCAAACTCCATTAATTCCCTCTTGAGAATTTGAGATTATACTCAGTGGAGTGAACATCGTTATTTGTTTCTAAAGCAGATTTGCAGAAGCACTTTGCCTTTTCTGATCATTATTCTCTTGCAAACACTTCAGGGGGTCCTCCAGTAGCAATTATACTTATAATTGTTTTGTCTCTATTCTTGTCTTACAATGTCAGGATGCTTGTTTTGGAAGCTAAGTTACTCTAAAATAATTCCTTTGATACAACTAACTTTCTTGTTTCTTGGAATATTTATTGACTGCTTTTCTTTCATTTTCACATCACCACATGCTGCCTATTCCTCTCCCTCTTCAGATTTGCCTTTTTCTGAGAGTATCCATGTCACCATCCTCCATCTTTTATCAACTCACACGTTGACTATGACAACAGCTTCCTGACTGGTCTCCCTATAACCGTTCTCTCCCTCTATTTAATTCTCCCTGCATCTGCTACCAGATGAATATTCCAGACCTCTTCCAGCTTTATTTATTATCCCCTCACACAGATTTCTGCTTTTGCTAGACAAATATGCTTGTTATAAGCTAAATAGGACTTATTTTACCCTCAATCTTCACTTGTGTTATTCTCTGCACTTGGAAAATTGCCTTTCTCCACCACTGTTTCTTCTATTCCAAACTTTCTCTTACCCAGTTTGGGACTGAATCACTTCATTTCATGTACCTACTCTACATATACAATATTATCTTTTTTTCCTAAACTGGAATGTGTTTTTTAAATACCCCTTCCTTTGTGCATTTGATGTGTAAACTATTGCAAACAAGGACTCTAATTTTTAAAATTTATTTCTATTATACTTTATGTAGTGGACAGTATAGAGCAGGCACTCAATAAATATTCATGATTAACTTTAGTATCATCTGGAGAAAATGTGGTTGGTCAAACAACATTAAGCATTTGGGAAGACAAGTTTAGATAGGTGTATGTGACTTTACAAATTTTGATTTCACAGTAACTAAATAGAGTGTTAAATAACCTTAAATTGCCTATGGCTAATTTCAGTTCTAAAATAGGCAAGTTTGATATGAAGGAGTTTGAAGCAAATGATTACTGTTTATCAGACAGTCCCATACATTTATCAGATAGCCTTAATGTTTAACACTGTGGTGTCCTATCAAACATTTTATAACAAAAATGCATGAGTAATAGAGAAATTTGAGCCAGATAATTTTCAACATTAAATTCTTTCTCAGAAAAGAGCAACAACAATTGCAAATGTTCAAACTTAACTGGTCACTTTGGAACTATTTTCTGTCTTTACTTCACTCTGGTTTTATCACCTTGTTCACTACCTTACCTTGGGACATGAATACGAGGAGTATAAAGATTTATATGTGCAATTTTCAGGATATTTCCCTTGGTTGCTACTTAATTTTCTAGAAAACACTTGGTGAAAACCAGTCTATTTAAAAATAAAATGACAAATGGCCATATAAATGCTTAAAACCTGTGGTTCCTTACTTTTGTAAGCCCTTTAATCACTAAGTGGGTCAGGTCTTCTTCCCTTCCTTGCCAGAATTTCCTTCTTTCTCACCCCTGCCATTTTCCAACGTGTCAGTTAAGTAATCCATTTCCATGTCCTACTACTCATTTCCATGTCCTCTTGAAACTCTATAAACTTCTCTTTCTTGACTGAACTGCTTCTCCTCTCCTTACAGCCTGTTTCCCACTTTAAAGTCCTTCAGCATTAGCCACCAATCCTCAAACAAAATATCAATTTTTCACATGATACTACCTTGGGTTCAAGCCTTACCAGAAGTCCTCAAGTGTGTTTGTACCCATTTTTTAAAAATGAGAGTGCTTGAAAGCAGAACAGATTTGGATCTAATTCAATTAACATTTACAATGGGTGCAATGGGTGCAGGGGGTGAGGAAAGATACTCTCTTACTTCTTTTCAGGAACCATCCAGCTACCTTTCAGAGTTTCCATCATTACATCAGAGCCCACAGATTACCAAACCTTCCAGATATCATATTTTACCAAATTAAAACCATGTACATATTGTCCATCTCCCTGAGATGGACATTATTTCTTCTTAATGCAGTTTCCATTTCCTATGTACCAATTGCTTTTGTGCATTTCTCATGTCTCATAACTCCTGATATGTTCAGGATTTTTCACCTTAAAATAGCCTCAATTTTAAAAGTCCATATGTGTTTGTGGATAAGCTAATAAATTTCTTATGAATGTATGGGAACTAGTTGCACCAGTACTTCTCTAAATTTGTAAAATCCATGTCAGTGAAACATTGAGAAGAATATTTTTCCCACTGTGGAAGCTACCGTAAGAACACATCATGTTCTAGACTAGATACTTATTATACCCTTATGGGCTATATATTTTAAAAATCTCAGATGAAATCAAATTTTGAACTGCCATCTAGAAATAAATTTTTATAGATAGTGTACACATTGGTTCCTGAAAATGGTAGAAAAGGTTTCTTGTCAGGTTCCCCAGCACAAGTGTGAATGCTCTGTTTTTGAGTACCTACTAGTAGTGAAAGGACACATTGTGGCCAGCCAACTCAAATTGCTACCCACATTTAATCATTGTAAATAAAGGAAGCAGAGAGACCCATGTTATATTTTCAGAACTGGCATGCTCAATACAGAACTATTAGTTTAAAAATACCACTGAACATTCTATTTGAATTAATCTAGACTTCTGTGAAAAACGAAATCATAAAAGGTACAATTGGTCACTCAAACATATACTACTCATTTCATGCACGTTATTAACTTAGTAATTACACATATCATTAAAGAATAATGAAACTAAATACAACTTTATAACACTTGGGAAACAGTTCAGAATTGATCAATTTCCATTTTGAAATACCTATAGTTTTTACACAAGCAAAATCAGCTTTGTCAGTGGAAAAAATACATCTATGAAACACTTTAAGTGTGTTGAACAGGACTTTTCAAAGGAGCAACTAATTGTCTCACTGTGAAATGAACATGTATCACTGCTAAGATTCCACATACTGTTGGTGCATAATGCATATTCTGAGCTGATGGATATAGAAAAGCAACAGAGAAACAAGTAATTTGAACAAAACCCATGGATCACAGGAAATTAATAGTGTGAAGAAGTTGAAAGAAATAATCAAAACATATTATCTAATGTTTTTTTATATACTGAGTTTCACACTTACAAGGGTGGGGCAAATTCTTAATTTTTATACACTGTGTACATTTGTCCTTGTTTATATTTGTTAAGAAACATGATTTAAGAACCATTTGTAAAATGCCAGACTCAATCTTGACTCACATTTGACCCCCACAGGCATCTTGATAGAGGACACACCAAAACAGATTAATTGGAAAGAACGTAAAGTAGTAATCCACAATAAGTATTAGAATAGGGGTACATGCCTTACACCAAATTCATAATATTTTAGATTATTCACAGGGATTTTCTGGTATGGCACAGTCACAGTCACAATGTGAGGGTGGAGAAGGTTAGTCCATAAAATATACTCTTTGAAGCACCAGGAATAGAGATACTTCTGCAGGTGTCTTGCACACACAGCCAAGCAGATATTGTGTATGTACAGAATAGTCTGTTTCACAATTACATTTCAGAAGAGGATCATTGTAACTGCTGCTATACCACTAGTAAATTTGAATCATTTAGCACTTCATCTGTGAATATTGTTGTTTTACTTCTTTTCTACTGCTGACACTTGCAGTCAATATTTAAATCGAAACTCCAACGATGCTGACAAAAAGGAAGAAGATGCTCACATCTTCGCCTAAAGCAGGTCAAGGGATCATTTGGAAAAAAATCCAAATGTGATTGTGTTAATAAACACTAAAATGCATACCTTAAAATGTGTTTTCAAATGTGTAAAACGTTTGAAATAGACTAGAAAGCTATGAAGATTTTTTTCAAAATCATCCTAAAAGAAGTAATAGCGTGTCTATTCATTTGCTTAAGAAATGCACATTGTTTACCTACTTACTAGTTTGCCTACAGAAGTTGTCCTTGCCTCATAAAACTAAAAGCTGTCATTATGAGCTGCTGATTTAATCTACAGAAGTTGTCCATTACGTTGAAGACGTTCTAAATGTTTCAACCACATTCTTTTCTTAACTGATCTTCCTCTACAAACAATCTTCCAATTGGGGTGCCTCAACACTTCTTGTTTGATAATTCCCATTTTTCAGTTACTCTATAGAAGTTCTCTTTTCCCATTAAACTTAGTTTGTAAATTTCAAATTCAATGAAAGTCTTTAAGTTTTCCTTATTTCAAAAACCATGTAAATACTAAAATATTCATAAATATGGATAACTAACCGACTAAGCTTGCAGTCCAAGTGTTATCATAAAATCTACTCTAAAACAATAGGATTTAAAATTTTTTCTTTTCAGGTAGAAATCAAAACTGTACATTGGAACAAGGTGCTGTACTACAAAAGCAGGTCCTCGCGCCCCACCCCCACTATTTTGGAAATGTAAACCAAAAGAATTAAAGTACAAAAGTGATTCCTATGCCTTTTTCCTCGAACACACTTTCAGCACCTCGGTGTTACTAGGTGTCCTTTATGCTTGATATGGCAGAAATTTTGTATGCTAAAATAGAGGTTCAGGGGACTTCAGATTTTTCATTACCAGATATCACTGGTGAAGCTAAGCTCTTTGGATGATAAAGGTAGAAGAGAACTGTTCCTATGAAATTCTTGGGTATCTTTCAGGGCATTATTAAGGGGTAGTTGTCCATTGAGTAGCGTCAGAGGCAGGTTACAATAAGTATGGTGGTTGCCTAAGGAAGGTACTGGCAAGGTGGTGGTTGTCATCTCGTGTTTATACCCTCTGCAACAGTGCCTCATTTGCATTGAATCGGAATGGTGGAAATCAGGGAGATCAGCTTGAGATGATACGAGAGAGGCCGAGGTACTGGTCATGGCAATTGAGGGTATAGGCTGGAGTTCTCTAAAAAGTCCTTGCTCTGCAGAGTCCAGAGCATGGCACCGAGAAAGCATTTCTTTTTTCTTGATAGGCATTTCATATACTAAGTGCTTCCAAAACTTAGAATTTAATTTGCTGCTTTTGGGTCCCTTCCACTTGATCATGGACAGAAGTTTGATGCTGCGCTTTAGTGATTCCACTTCCTGGCAATTCACCTTCCCTTTTAATTCTGTACACTCAATAAAAATCACTTTGATTTCTCCACTGACTAGCATGTTATGGAGTCTGCTTTCCAATTCGAAAATACTCCATCCTCGTCTGAGAATATAGTCTGGAGTTAGCACGATAATAAGTCTTCTGCTTTGCTCAACACATCTTGTGAGATCTTCAATGTATGCTACAAATCACAGAAAGAGAGAAAGAGTAAAACAAAGCCATTTCCAGTCTTTAAAGCATTAGGTTTGCACTCTGGTATAGGAAAGATCCAGTCTTTCACTAAGGTACATCACACTTTATTTTCTTGTATTTTTCATTCAGAAAGCCCATTTCCTTAAAAATAAAAAAGGAAAAACAACCTTCCTATAATACATTTTGTTTCTCCCCATCATTACCTACAGTATCTTGTTGGCAAATATAAAGTTTGATTTCTTCAGAGCTTAGGTGTATTTCAGTTATTTGTATTTGTTTAATCATTTAATTAAAGGCAGGCTTTTTAGGCTCGTACTCTAAGTGAACAAGCAATCAACAGATTAATGAGAAGAGAAATGGAGCCATTAAAATGTTGAAGGGTCACTGTATTTATGGGTTTGGTTTGGTTTTTCCCTTAGTTTATGACTACTAAACAAGTAGGGAGTATATGTATATGAACTACTTCAGATTGGTGGAAAACTTCTAGAAGCCCAGCTTGTTTCTCAGAATCCCCTTCATTATTTACAGCCTTAGGTTCTCCATTTTGCCCTTCAAACCTAGAGATAGGGAAGTGAAGTATGTTGTGCCCATTAAGTTTAATTTGAACCAGCTGCTCTTTGTTCGGAGGCAGTGTGAGGGGGGGAGTTGGAGGTGGGGAACGGTGTGGAACGAATGGTGAAGGAGGGGGAGTCTATCAACTGAGAATTGTCTTACTTTGTGGAGCAATTCTGAAAGTGAGGTGAATATGTTACAGCTTTTTCATAGCAGAAAAATACTCAAAAATAACCAAGTTTATTTATACTATGGGATAATCCTTTTGCATCATGCTTCCCAAAGTCTTATCCACCCAAAAGGGAAGCAAGTACACACGTGTTAACAAATGGAGACTTGGACACAGGTGCTGCAATGAGAATTGTCTTTACTAAGCAGAGCACAGGCCTTGTCTAATGTACAGTGCCCTCTAGCAGAAGCAGTGCTTACAGGAGCATAGCAACATTTGTCATTGCAAATCTGCCCAAGGTTACAGACTGCTTTCAAGGAGTCACGCCCAGTACACAGTGTGGGGCCACCAAGCAGCCCCATACAAGCCATTCGAAAAGAGAAACTGATTTTACAGATACATATTGTATAGACGATCTCTCTTTTCCAGGGTTTTATTTCAACCATGCGGCAGCAAGAACACTTTCACAAGTGAAAATGATCAAACTTTCTACATTCCCTACTAATAAACAAAACTTTGTAAGAGATACACAGAGAATTGCCCATTTAACAATTTTTTGTTAGTGCTGTTTTGGCTTTTACTTAATACATTTCAGGACTTTCTCATGCAGTAGTTACAATGACGGTATCTGAAGGCATAAGGACATGCCTAAGTGGGGAGGGAAACTCTTAAGAATCTTAAGCATTTTATTGTAGAGATTATGTATTCAGGGGAAAAATCAGCATTAAAGTCTGCAAAAAAAAAAAAGACAAAATAAAACAATACAGAAACACCACAGAAGGAGCAATGGGGAAGTCATCACTGTAATTATCATTTAGAGAACTGGTGAAACAGAATGGAAGGAAAGGTAGAAAGTTTCAATAGAGCGGAAAAATATCCCAATGTATCAACAGCTCTGACTCTTCATTTTCTTCCTTTCTTTCTGCTCCCAAAAAGAAAGAAGTTATGTGGGAAGCTTCATCATTAGAAGTTGGATCTGTAAGATACAGTAAAATAAACTATCATGCATCTTTCCCATTATTCTTTTCACCTTTCCTCCAAACAAAACAAAACAAAACAAAACAAAACAAAACAAAACAAAACAAAACCAAAACGAAACAAAACCCAAACCCAGAATCATGGTTTAAGTGCAGGAATCCATGAAAATACAGTTTGACCAGGTAAGCTGTGAGTTAATAGTTAATTGTATGGAGGAATTCTGTGCAAAATAATTGACCGAGGGGTTAGTCCGAGTATTATTCTTCCCTCATTAATTGCAGCACTTCACATAATTTTTAAAAACTGATCTGTATAAACCTTGTCAGGAGCACATCTGTCCCATAAACAATACCTCTATGAGCAATACCATTTTGGTATGTTGTGATATAGTCTAATTTAATTTTTAATGATACTTTTAAGAGCAAAAGGTGTATCTACACGTATCTCTATCAACTCAAAGAGAAAATGACAACCCAGGTGTCCACAGTTGTAAGAGAAACAATACACATATCTACTAATTAATTTGATTGGGCTCTCATGGGCTTTGGCTTTGCTATGCTTTCTTGAACGGGGCAGGGAACAGGGTACATTTTTTTCCCCGTTTCTATGGTTCTCCCTCTTTGTCTGTTATATTTTGCCATTTGACTGCAACATTTAGGAGTTTGGGGGTTTCTTAGAGATTCATTAGACAGAACTTGAATTTGCTCCCCAAAAGGCATGCCTGTCAGGGCAGATGCCCCTGTGCTCAGCTGCACAGGGTGTGGGTGTTGAAGGGCAACTTGAAGGGAGGGAGTGCTCCCTGTCTCCTGCATACTACACTGGCTGTGCTTCTCCTGGCAAAGCCTAGTGGAGAGTTGAGGCAAATCCAGATAATTCCAGCTAAAAATCTGCTGTGGAAGAAAAAAGTTCTGAATTATCCTGGTTTGCCCTATATATACATTAATCATATGTACTGGAGGCAGTCAGTCAGTACATCAAAATTTTCCCTGTGTAGACATAGTCCAACTGTCCCAAAGAAAACATGAGCCATTTGCTTGGGCTGTGCGTTCCATGTTCCATTTCACTTGGTGAAAAACCAAGTGGAAGTTTTCAGATGTGAAGCCCACATTTTAATTCTTGGGATGGTGATCAGTGGCTGGGCAGCAGCCTCAGTGTTTGAAAGCAGCAGGGGAGGTGCCCCTAAGAGATGCCTGGCTCTAAGGAAAAGAAGGAGAGACTGGGCCCTTGCTTCCATATTCTGGCTCACTCTCTGTTTTTCTGTGTTTTTTTCATTTTTTCTTCCCCTCCCCCCAACACTTTGCTCCTCTCTGCCTCTCTGATTCTCCCTTTCTTTTTTTCTGTCCTGCCTTCCTTTTGTCCTTCTGTCTCTTTATTACTCATTCCTTCTGCCTTTCCTTCTCTTTTTCTCCCTTCCTTTCTCCCTTCACTCCCTTTCTCCCTGCCTAAGTCTTTCTCTTTCTTCCTGGGAAAAAAACAAGGACCTAGCCATTATAGAAAACATAAGTAAATTATCAAGAGACTAAACAGGTTGAGTTAATATTTTTTACCTGCTAATCTTTAGCCAAGGAGTTGTTGCTGACTTCTATGCAGCAAGTGCCCCAAATAATTGCCCCCTCACCCCAGGGTTGCATGTTTGCATCCATAAGAACCATGTGCTGTTTTTATATGGCCTGTGAGCCAAGAAAGAGTTTTTAAAGAACATTTTTAAAGGGTTGTAAGAAAAAACGAAAGAGAAGAGTATGATGAAAGAGAGACTATATATGGCCCACAAAACCTAAAATATTTACTATCTGGACCTTTGCAGAGAAAGTTTGCCACTGCTGAATTAGAGATCGACCAGGGTGTTTACGTTTGGAAAAGTTCCAAATAAACTAAAGCAGAAACAGGTATCAAGTTAAGACCTTACTGGTTCATAGCTAGTGTCATCTCAGATGGTCAGTGGTGTTTGCCATGGTAGGGCTGTGGTTTTGTGGGAGATATTTTAGAAACGCTCAGAAACTGCTTTGAAAAGCTGGTTACCACAAAGAGATAATAACGAAACGTTTTCCAAAAAAAAAAAATTTTTCCTAAATCCACAGCATATATGAGTAGTCACTAAATCTTGCCCCGACTTGTTCAGGCAAATTTAGCAACTGAGTAGCAGGCATCCCTTAAATGACTTTTTTCCACATAAAAATATAAAATATCCTTTAAATGAAAGGTCATTAAGTTATTTCTTTGCCAGTTTTGGTTTGAAGGAACTTACCATGACAGAAAAGACTAAAGGGGCTGTGTGTGATAGCCTTCTGCTTCTCTAGACAAGGCTGTGAAACCACAGCAGATTATCAGACATCAAAAAGAGATAATTACCTTTAACCTATTTATGACCTTCAGAATTTGGCAAAGAAAAATATGTTGAATGTAGTTTTGATAGGGGTGCTTAAGCTGGTAAAAATTCATTTTTTATGTTATAAGTGCAACTGCAAAGAACCTTCTCCATTTGTCTATACTGGGAGTTGACAGAGTTAGGAAAACATTCTAGAAGAAAATGCATTTTTACTAGGCCCTCCTTGAGATGTGTACCTATTAGAAAAGTGAAGAAAGGTCATGCCAGTAGTACCAGTATTTGTAGGAAACTAGGAAAGTGACTACCTAAAATCATATTGAAAGCAAAGCAAATTAAATTTCAAAATCTCTTTTGGGCTCAGTTGTATAAATGAAAATTCCAATGCATTTAAAAAAGCAGGATTAGATATACAAAAGTGAGTTGAAAATAGGACACTTATTAACAAAGCATAAAAGTGAACTGAAGAGAGAAGCCAAAAACTAGAAGCAGGAAGAATGGCAGCCCCTAAAAACTGCTTCTAATGGGATGCATACACTTTTCCAAAAGAACTCAATACTTCCCTAAATCTTAGGCTCTGAATCTGCTGCAGATGTAGGCAGAAGGACAAAGGAGAAAAAACTCAGTGTTCATGAATTTCCATGTGGTTTTGCTACTGCCTATTAACTATCTGATTTATCAAACTAATCAATTAGCTACTGTAAATTATTTTTGTATTGACTCTTCCGTTTATGTCAGAATCATTACTAGGGCCAGTTAGCATATTAAAAAGCTTAAAGAACAAATACCTGTAGACAAAGGTATGATGTATTACTTTGCCAGGTTCAAATAATAGTCGTTTGATATGCCTATACCTATAGCTATGTACATCCACTACCAGTTAAACAGACAATCATTAGGATGAGACAGGATGCCTCAAAACAGATGACACTCCATTAAGTTTTGGTCAACATTAGCTAACTGATAA